AGTGAAAACATGAAGAGTGACCATACTCCCACATCTTTGCCTTGTAAACCTTATGTGCATAGCACTGCAGTATGCCTTGTAGAATAATGATGTAGTGTATAATACAGAGCCATAGTCACAGATGGGGTGCTGTTTTTGCGCGAGTGCTGTTTTGATGGAGTGCTAAGAAGCAGTTGAACACAGCAGTCTAATCATGGCTCCCTGCTTTTCACAGGTAAATTGCTGCTATCTGCTCTCTCCACTCTAAACTGCAACAGCGCATAGACTCCTGCTATCTCTGGGTAAATTGCTGCTATCTGTGCTCTCCACTCTAAACTTCAACAACGCATAGACTCCTGTTAATTTCAGAACAAATACTGTATACATATTTTTGTCTAGGTTGATTAGTTCTCACCTCTTGTTGCACTCTTTTTATGACTGTGGCCTGTGTCTGGTCTGTGTTTGAGAAACATCCCCCTCTATTCATGTGATCCTTATCAGTTCCTAATTGGGGTGGAGAAGAGTGCTCATTTGACCATCTCCCTTTAAATTTGGATCAGCTCATGGGGGGTGGTCACAGATTGGGGGGCAGTTTTTGATGGAGTGCTAAGAAGCAGTTGAACACAGCAGTTTAACTAAAGCAGGATAACTCAAGCAGCAGGAAGATACAACAACAGCAAGAAACACTACTGCACGCTGGACAGACTGCAAGCAAACACACTGGGAAACATCTCTTACAAGTCTGAGTCCCACTCCGCGTACCTTTTTAAAATGTCCCCTCCAAGCCCCCCTTTTCATATTATCCTGCGTTCCCAAAATCTCACTTCTTTACCCCTCTGCTCCACCCCAAAACTTGTACATCTCACCCTCACTGCTACCATCTCCCTACTACTGCTCTCATCACCTCCTGCTGATACTTCACTCTCCTGCTGACCCAAATACCAGGACTGGAAGGCATGTAGACTCGTGTACATCCCGCTCCCATCTTACTTTCCTCACCCTTCTTCTCCTAACCTCTGGGGATATCACCCCAAACCCTGGTCCTCCAGTATCTCACCCCCACACTAGGCATCCTCTTCTTCCGGGAATAGCTGCAATCCCCTCAATTTAATATCGGTCCCCGTGCTCCCAAAAACCACCCTCCTTTTTCATGTGCGCTCTGGAATGCCCGCTCTGTCTGTAATAAGCTCACCTCTGTCCACAACGTTTTTGTCTCCCGCTCCCTTAACCTACTAGCAATTACAGAAACCTGGCTTCAAGCAGCAGATTCTTCTTCACTTTCCTATCGAGGCCTTCTCTGGACCCACTCACCCAGACCCAGTGGTCGGAAAGGTGGTGGAGCTGGTTTGCTTCTATCCCCACTGAACACCTTTCAAGTCCTCCCTAACCCTCCCTCTCTATCCTTTCTTCTTCTTTTGAGACTCATTGCATCCGGCTGTTTTCTCCCATTTCTCTGAGGATTGCAGTGATCTATAGGCCTCCTGGACCAGTGTCCCGCTTTGATGATTTCTCCGCCCTTGGTTCCCTACCTTTCTCTCCTCTGAACTACCCACTATCATCCTCGGAGATTTTAACATCCCTATTAATGTCAACAACCCGGCTACATCCCAACTCTTCAACTTAACCTCATCTTTCGCATTAACACAATGTATACAAGCCTCCACTCACTCTGATGGGAATACATTAGACCTTGTTTTTCCCATCTTTGCACTCCCTACAACCTCACAAAACACCCCCCTTTCCTCTCTCTGATCACAATCTCATCACCTTCACAGTGTCCTCATCTTCAAACACCATATCCCTCCAAGCAGCAAGCAATTACCCGCAGAAACCTTCACAACTTGAACCCTGCTCCTTTCCACTCTGCAACTGACCAACTCTGACAGAATCTCTCCTGTCTTGCCCTGACCTGGCCACTGCTGTTACAACAGTTCGCTTTCATCCACATTAGACTCACTTGCTCCTCTAATAACACAAAACATCAGGCCCCAACCATTACAACCTTGGCAGACTGACGACACCAGAAATCTTAAACAACATAGTCGTGCGCTGGAGAGATTGTGGTATAAAACCAAATCTTAACAAGCATTCACCCTATATAAATCTGCTTTCTTAACATACAATTCCTCTCTTCATGCTGCCAAACAAGCCTACTTTGTCACTCTTATTAATACCTTGTCATCCAGTCCTCGTCGTCTCTTCTCTACTTTTAACTCTACTTTCTCCACCTCCATCCAGTACCTCACTCACTGCTCACAAGATTGCAAATCATTTCAAAAACAAGATTGACGCAATTTGTAGGGGCATCGCCACTGCACAGACATCCATGCCACTTAGCATACCTTATACTAAACCTCCCTCAACACTTTACTCTTTTGACCTTGCTACTACCAAAGAGGTCACTAAAGTTTTCTCAGAAGCCAGTCTCACTACCTGCCCCCTGGATCCTGTCCCCTCACAACTACTACGGTCACCCTCTTCTTCCATCCTATGCTCCCTCACTCACATCTTCAATCTTTCCTCTCTCTACTTGTGCCTTCCCCTCCCCTCTAAAGCATGCACACATCACTCCCTTACGTAAAAAGCCCTCCCTGGACCCCACCAACCTGAACAACTTAAGACCCATCTACCTGCTGCCATTTATCTCTAAACTCCTAGAACGCTTAGTCTACAAATCGCCTGAGCTACTACCTCACTGACAACAACCTTCTTGACCCTTTACAGTCTGGCTTTCACTCACTACACTCCACTGAAACTGCCCTATTAAAACTCACTAATGATCTACTAACTGCTAAAACCAATGGCCACTACTCCGTACTCTTACTACTTGACCTCTCTGCGGCTTTTGATATGGTTGACCATCCGCTCCTCTTCAAAAAACTCCACTCTCTTGGCCTCAGAGACTCTGTTCTCTCCTGGTTCTCCTCCTACCTATCACAGCGTTCCTTCAGCGTTACCTATAACGCTGCCTCCTCCTCTTTACTCCCTCTTTCTGTAGGGGTCCCTCAAGGTTCTGTCCTTGGACCCTTCTCTTCTCCATCTACACCTCCTCCCTTGGTCACTTGATAAACTCCCATGGCTTTAAGTACCATCTCTATGCTGATGACACACACATCTATCTTTCTGCCCCTCACCTCACCTCTTCAGTCTCCTCTCGCATTACTAACCTACTAAGTGACATATCGGCATGGATGTCACTCTACGTCCTCACACTCAATCTTTCTAAAACTGAGCTCTTAGTATCCCCCCCAGCCCGTGCCCCCTCCCCTGACTTCTCCATCAAGATCAATAACACAATCATCAGTCCCTCCCCTCATGCCAGGGTACTAGGTGTAATCCTAGACTCCCATCTGTCCTTTCAGTACCAAATCCAATCACTGTCCAAATCTTGTAGACTTCACCTCCGCAACATCTCCAAGATACGCCGTTCCTAACCTCGGAAACCACTAAGCAACTTACTCACTCCCTTGTTATATCTCGCCTTGACTATTGTAACTCCCTCCTCATTGGCCTACCTAATCGCAGGCTATCCCCTCTTCAGTCTACCCAGAATGCTGCTTCCAGACTCATCCACCTTCCTAACCGTTCTGTATCTGCCACCCCTCTCTGCAATCCCTCCACTGGCTTCCCATTGCCCAACAGATAAAATTCAAAACATTAAACGTATAAACCCATTTATAACTCTGCCCCAAATTACATCACCTTGTCTCTAAACATCACCTAAACCGTACTCTCCACTCCTCGTAAGACCTCCTACTCTCTAGCTCCCTTGTCTCCTCCTCCCATGCTCGTCCCCAGAGCTTTCCCCATCCTCTGGAACTCTCTACCCCAATTTATCAGACTATCACCAACTCTGCTCACTTTTAGGCAATCTCTGAAAACCTCTCTCTTCAGGGAAGCCTATCCTGCCCTCAGCTAACAATGGAATCGTCTACTCTTCCAACCAGTCCATCCCCCACAATTACTATCTTTTGTATCACTAGCCCCTCCCTCCAAGATTGTAAGCTCCAAGAAGCAGCGCCGCCTATCCCTCTTGTATTGAACTGTATTGTTGCTGTATTGTCTCCCGTTATATGTAAAGCGCTGAGCAAACTGTTGACGCTATATAAATCCTGTATAATAATAATAATAATAATCAAGACAGGTATAGCCAGGAACCGGTACATATAAGGGTACAGGGAAACTTTCTCTGACTGTGTCCTTGCTGCTGGATCCATGGGTCCAGACTTCATCCATCACGGCAGGGAATACCCTCAAAGGGTTCTTCAGGGTCAGGGTGCCATAGGAAAGGACCACAGCGCTGCACCTGTATAGCACCCTTCGTTCCTTCCAATGTAAGCGCCGAACGCAGAATCCAATATCCTATGCAAACATTACAGGCTGGCCCAAGGTATACTGAAAGGTAACCGACTGAAAGTAATAGGTGGTCAGAAAATGATAGAACTCGAAGGAGGTAAACTAAATCTGGTAATATGGTATTAAAAAAGTCTTCTTTAAGAAAATACGGCATCCATCACCTAAAGACAGCAGGAAAAAACTGGAGCTTTACAGTGTGGGCATGGTTATAGGATTATACTAGGAGGCAAACCCAGCAAAGTTTTTGCCAGTGTCCAATCACATGAAGGTAGCAGCATATTACTGTGGTCTATGAACCGATTCCTGTGTCCTGTACTGTACTATTTTGTTTAGGTGCTTTATGTGTGTTATGACCTGTACATTCATGCCTTATTACTTGTACATGGCATATGGCATCAAAAAGATCAGAATTTCAGCCAAGAAAGAGCATGCAATATTTCTACAGGTAGTTCAATTATTTAATGTTATCTTTGCACAGTGTGATCTAAATGCAAAAACTGTTAAGAGGAATGTGTGCTATTTTTTTTAAATCATTAACCAACAGGAGACAAACAGCTACATAGATATTTTCACATGGATTGGTATATATAATTTAACATAATACATCCCCTGGATGCTTGACCCTGTATTGCAGAAAGGTCTTAGAAGTGAGAGATGTGTCTTACCAATTACATTTCCCGGCAGAAACACCAGCATGCTCATGAGCAGAGAGCCCAACCAAAAAAGACCAACAGTTTTGTAGTTTGTCCTACAAAAGGAAAACCAGAAAGTTCTTTTTCATTAAAAACAATGCAGCTGTGGCATCACATTAGAAATATGACCTACATTCAATGTGCTTTCACTGTTAAGAGATGGTCAAATTGTAGTACTGAGAACAAAAAGGTAGGAAGTCCATATTTATGCTTACTGAAAAAGCCATCAAAGCAAGATAATTTATATAATCTAATTTGAGTTCAGATTGCTATGGGGCTCAGTTTGATATGTTGTGGTTTTTTATTATTTAACTTCTGGAAGGTAAACACTACAAGACCACAAAACAAACCCTTGGTTTGTGCAAATCCTATAAAGCAGGAGTCTAATCTGTATCCATGGAGAAACCGTAAACTGGTCTGATCTGGACTACAAACACCTTCCCCTCTTCTCTTTTCCATATCATAGAGGGAAAGGGTTTTGTAGTCCCCAGACATGGCTGGGAACAAAATAACCAATAAGAGTGCAGCACAGGAATAGAAAACAGGACATTATCAGCAGACAAAATTTGACAAGGATCAACAGGTATTTGTTTTTGAACTTATACACTGCTCAAAAAAAAAAAATTATATATATTCACTACTCAAAAAAATTAAAGGAACACTTTGAATACACATCAGATCTCAATGGGGAAAAATATCATGCTGGATATCTATACTGATATGGACTGGGTAATGTGTTAGAAATGTAAGGATGCCCCAGAGGACTGAATTGAAAGACACCCCAAAAATTTTATTTTTTTTTAGCAGTGTATTTAGCAGACAAAAAGGGAGCAAATAAGAGTTCATTATTAGGGTTTACATGCACTTTAACAAAGCACTCTATACCTAGGGATTCCTGAAATCCAGAGTGCTTGAATATGCAACTCTTGACTTTTTGACAAAAGCTGAGAGCTTGCGCACCCCTACTATCTGACCATAACTAGGGATGAGTGAATGCATGTTGGTTCAATTCATACGGTAGTCTTCAAACCCTATTCTTCAACCCCATTAGAAAAAGTCCAAAAACTGCAAAAAATCTGAACCCCACTGAAGGGTATGGGGGGGGGGGGGCTTGAATAAGCAAGAAATATCAAAACAAATGGCATGAGAAGCTTGGCACATGGGGTTTACCAATGCCAAAAAACTTTAAAATACATCACAACGAGGAGAGGGCCCTCCCTTTAATGCAATTTTGGGGGTGGCATAGGGAAACACACCAATCCTTTCAATTACATGCTTGTGAGAGGACTTTAGTCTGCATGTCATGTTACCGAACAGTACGATTCTCACAGAGAATATCAGCTACACCATATTCTGGTGTCAATTATTTTGCATGTGCAATAGATATTACTTTTACAATATGTCTTGGCTTTAGTTCTGCAGCAGTACATGAATCGGATTCATAACAATTTAGGAAAAAAAATAATAGTTTTGGCTATGACACCTGATAATAGGACTGCCCTGAATAGTAGTAATGCAGCTATAACAGATTTTAAATCTAAAGGAACGTATAGTCTTAAAAAATAAAGATAAAGCTCTCAATATTTACCAAATGGCCAATGATAAAATTGGTGCATTATGTATTATACGTATTATTTCAGACTATAACTACACATACTGTATAGTACAGTGGATGGATATTATGTAAGCTGATATAATAAACTGCAATTTAAGAGGGAGAGACAAGACAGGGTAAATCAAGAAAAAAATAGAGTATATTATTTCACAAATAACCAAAATTATTATACAGTTGATTCACAGTATGTAAGCAGCTTTATTAGAATGCAATTTAAGAGAAAAAGATGAGGCAGGCTTAATCAAGAAATAGAAATTAAAAAGGAGGAGTATTATTCCACAGGCAATACTTAAAACTATTGCACAGTTAATGCACAGCAAATAGGCAGCTTTAATAAGCCACAATTTAAGAGAGAGAAACCAGGCAGGTTCTTATTACAAAATAAAAATTGGCGTATATAATTTCAGAGACAATAGCCACATACAGTATATGGTACATTTACTGTAGAGTATGTCAGCAAATTGATTAGGGCACATGGTAAGAGGAAGTGACAAGGCAGAGTTTATTTTGAAATAAACAGAATGCATTATTTCTGAGAGACAATAGCCACTGGGATGGGCCCCAAATTAGGAGACACAAAGCATGAACAAGGCAAAACAAAATGTGTGGCAGCTTTACGCTGCCAGAGCCCAGAATAGGGCAGTGGAGGATGCAGGAGCTGGTAATGATGGCAGAGCAGCAGAGACTGCATGAACAGATAATGGTGGCTGGCCAGCAGAAGTGGCAGGAGCTAGTAATGATGACAGGCCAGGATAGATGGCAGGAGCTGGTATAATGGCAGCAGTAGATAAGGCGAGCTGGCAGGAACTTGTAACAGTCCAGCAAAGGTGGCATGGGCTGTTAATGGTAGCAGGCCAGGAGAGGCGGCAGGAGCTGGTAATTGAGGAAGGACAGTAAAGGCTACAGAAGTTGGTATTTTGGCAGACCAGCAGAGGTGGCAGGAGCTGGTATTAGTGGAAGGGAGACAAAATGTGAGCTGTTAACAGTAGCAGTCAAGCAAAAGTGGTAGCAACTGGAAATATTGGCAAGTCCAGCAGAGGTGGCAGTAGCAGGTAAAAGTGGCAGCCGAGCAGAGGTGGTAGAAGCTAGGAATGGTGTAAGGTAAGGTAATTTTTTTTGGGACTGGATTGAAAAGAAAAAAATCATTCATAGCATCAGCTGCAGGGGTTTTGTAATCATTGCTAGTCTAGAGCTGGTTTATTTTTATGAAAGTAAGCTGGTTCACAGTGTCAAGGCACAGGCCGATTCATCTCTCACAAAACCATCTGCTGCACTGAATGCATACTCAGACAGCACACTGGCTGGAAAGCAAGCCAGAAGCTCCAGAACAGACTGTGAAAGCTCCAGACAGTGATCCAGCCTGGGCACCACATAGATCATAGAGTCATCACTTTGAATAGGGACCACATTAGCCCTGGAATTCAATCATCCTGCGATCATATGATTTAGGCGCTACCTCTGGCTACTACCTGTGGGCAGGCCTGCCCTCTGTGGTTGAAAAACAACAACTAAAAAGCATTGCTGAAGAAAGCTCTTTGTTTCAGTGATCGGAGGATGGGAGACACGTTAGGCCTGAGAGGGGATCCTGCCATTATCTGGAAATGCTGCCAAGAAGTTCTTTAGCAGCACCTCAGCTAACTGGTGCATTTTTTCCCTGCCTCTGAAACATGAATTCTGACATTTTCCCCTTGAATAGGGTATCCAAAAGGGTGGCCACCTAGTAATAATCCATCTGCTTCATTACCTAAATCATGGGGTTCTTGGAAAGTTATTTCAGCATGAATGGTTCTATTTGCTCAAGTCATTGGTGTTGCTGAGGACAACAGTGTTCTCAACGATCTCATTCCACCAGTAACAACTACCAGGGTTTGGGAGAAATTAAATTTCTCCTCCTGAATCCTTCTGGAGGCAGTAGGCAAAGGATCCTGCTGGCCCTGTGACAGCTGAAGTCCTCCTCTTCCTCCTGGTGCTGTCCAGTGCCAGGTCTATGACATCAGTGTAGTGTTTTCTCCAACAGGAATAGCAGAAGGGTCATGTTGCTATTCCTTTATTTTTTGCACCTCGACATTCTAGTTGTGTCTGTGAATGGTGACAAGATGTTGCATGTGTCCTGAATCAGGGGCCACTTACATTACCTAATACATCAAGCCAGCAGCTCAACACAGGACCTGGAAATAAGTAGAGATCACTGAAGCAGCGGGTGTCTCCAACAGTGGTTGTCAGCTTCCAGGGGCATCAAACAGGTATGGTGTATACATAGTTACACTGGTGCAAGCTGGATCAATGCATACCTCCCAACATTAGGGATAGGAACAAGAGACACCCATTAGCAAAAGTATGAAAGCACAGGACAAACCCTGTGCTATGTGCCCCCTTAAAGGAGAATTATACAAAAAAAGATTAGTTAAACCTACAAGTGCTTTTTTTACCACTACTATTCCTTTATACTGGCTTTTGAAATTTACCATTGCAGATATTTAGAAATTGGATGAAAGTTTTAGCATTGGGAAACACTTTCTAAAGGATAAATAGTAAATTTTATATACAACTATATAGATCAGACCAAAATGAGGGACAAATGAGATGGAAAAGGGACAGAGGGACTTTGTTCCAAATCAGGGACAGTCCCTCTAAATCAGCTGGGAGCTACTGTATGTCAATGCAACTATGTAAACATATACCATGCCTGCAATTCACCAAAGGTTATATCCTTAACAGTCCTGCTGTTCCACTCATTCAAAAAGAAAGCAATATTTTCTTACCCACGAGCGATTGCTGCCAGCATAAACAAGTAGAGCAGGTAATGCACTGTCCCATCCCACAAGCAGATGAGCATTCCATGTGCAGTGCGGAGGTATGGCTCCCCCTAGAGAAATAAAATAAATATGCTTTAAGACCTTTAAAACACATGCATTTTAACATGTGTCAAAACATGAAGCAACATGCATTAAAATAAAAAGAAGGGAATGGGACCCTGATACTAACTCAACCACCACACAGGACATTATTCAGCTTTAGTGAGATGGCATAACCTTTCTATGCATTGGAGAGGTAGGTTTGCAATGCCACAAATGTAATTTTATGTTACAATATGCAGTATTTTCCCATCAAATTAAAGAAAAACAAATTTAATCTGATATGGTTGCAAACCATTATTTTATGTGTTTTTACTATGTGTAGCACATGCCGTCTTTATTGTACAAATATTTAATGCAGATTTTCAATGTTTTCAGAGCACAATGGATTTTCTAAGGAACAACCACAGCAGAACAGGTTTTCTTTCAAGCAACCATCTCTGATTGAAACCTCAAGTAGATGTGTATGAACAAAAGGGAAGAGTTTCAGTCTGCTTTGCACATTAACTTTTATATGCATAAATCTCAACTTGAGTTATCATACTTGCTTTAACAGGTAATACGGAAAATATTGGGGAAAAACATGAAACTTCTCATGGTGGCCACAAACAGGAATGTAAATTATTAGAATGTAATAGTTTATTTTAATAGGAGTATAAAAAAAAATGTTTTGGGGTTATTTGCAGGCTGTGATTAAAGCCATTCACACAACCTAGTGACTTTTCTGTGGGGAAAAAAGACGTAGCAGCTGCAGGCCAGCACAGGCAAGGTTCTGTCATATCAGAAATGCTGCACTTCAATTAAAGTTCATTTATTAAAACTTTGCTAAAGAAAAAATAAAGATTAAAGAGGAAGAAGGTAATATTTTAATTATTATTCCTTTCTCTAGTGCAAATTGTTCACACAATAGGGGTGTGGGTTGGAGTTTTAATTTTTATGACAGCTTTGCTTTATTAAATCCAAGGACAGTACGGGCATATGGTAAAATAACTTTAACTGAAAGTGACATCAGCTGCATGTGAGAGAAGATTTTTCCATCAGTTTTGGGAATAAGCTCTTTATTTTAGGAAAGATTAAAACTGTAGAAAAACAGCTACAGTATACAAATACATTCATATTTTCTCCTTTGCACAGCATATGTTCTCCGTTTTACCTGTGAATGTATACCGTTAGTCCCTTACATGCAAGCTTTAAGTTGTGAACTTTCAAAGATGCGAACATGTGTTCATATGTCCAACTGCGTGAGTTAGTTCACATTATTGGCATACATTTTCATGCGTGCATCCTCTTACTTGTGGTTGTGCTTCTGTGTACTTTACTGTATACAGTACTTTTAGTTCACCCTTTCTCCCCCCCCCCCTATTAAATGTGTGTAATACAGTAATTTATTAGGCAGATTGTGTTAGTTCAGCACCTAGGATAACTTTATTGGACTTACAAACAAATTGGACTTACGAACTTGCTCTCAGAACAGAACTCGTTCGTATGTAGGAGACTTACTGTAATAATAAATAAAAATTCTGGTTAGAATGTCTTGTGATTCATGCACCTCTTAAAAGTGATAGTAAAGGCAAAATCTACCCAAATAAACACCTACTCTCAGTCACAATCTAAGCCTAATCTATTTAACCCTATAAAGAAAAAAAATGTGCTATACTTACCTATTCAGAAGCCGCTCTGGTCCGGTCTCCAGCAGGAGAAAAGGGCAGGAAATTCCTGGGAAGGAACGTCATATGTACAGTCTATAGGGTGCTCCTGCTGGGACCAGACCTCTATTGGTGCTAGGGTTCAGAACACCCAGTTAGTACCGAAAGGGATGGGAGGCCAAGTGGACAGTAGGGCAGCTCTTCATAGAGTAGAAGCAAGGCTCTGATAATAGGAGAACACCTTTTGCCTTTTTCTGTTCTCCTGGGAAGTAACGTCACCTACAGACTTACTATGGGGCTTCCATTGTCGGCTGCCTGTCCTACACACTGAAAGCCACCGCTGACAGTCCAGCCTGGGACCAGAGCAACTGCTGAACAGGTAATTATAGCAATTTTTTCTTTACAGAGCAAGATAGAATAGGCTTAGAATGTAGCTGAGAGTAGATTTAGAGTTAGTTGGGTTTTGACTTTACTTCCACTTTAAGACAGCACTCGCAAGGCAAATTCAGTATCTCAATTTTGTGGCTTCCTATGGTACTCTCGTTCTCCAGCTCGATCATTAGACAATGAGTAAGCATCATCACCGCTGTCCAGTGCAGGAAAAGTGATCATCCTGACCACAAAGGTATGAGTATCACAAAAATGGCTGGCCAAAATGACAGAACATTTGGAAGGTAAAAGAGTAACACACAGTATATGTATTTTAATTGTGAATATAGTTGTCTGGAGCTCCACTTTAACCACTTCAATACCGGACACTTTCACCCCTTTCCCGTTCAGCAATTTTAAGCTTTTAGCACTGTTGCACATTGAATGACGATTGTGTGGTCATGCAACACTATACCCACATGAAATTTTTATCATTAATTTTCACACAAATAGAGCTTTCTTTTAGTTCCATTTAATCAGAACTAGTTTTTTTATTTTTTGCTAAATAAATGAACTGAAAATTTTTAAAAAAAAAAAAACAACAACACATTTTTCTTTGTTTCTTTAATAAAATTTTGCAAATAAATAGTCATTCTTCATAAGTTTAGGCCAAAATGTAATCTGCTAAATTGCGTTGGTGAAAATAACCCAAATCAGTGTTTATTATTCAGTCTGTAAGAAAGTTATAGAGTCTACAAACTTTGGTATATAGCTGATAATCGATCAATGCTGATGTACGGATGGGCCTCATCTCATTTCATGAAGCCTAACAATGCCAGTATACTACAAGTAACCCCAAAATGACCCCTTTTTGGAGAGTAGACCGTCCAAGGTATTTAGTAAGAGGCATTGCGAGTTTTTAGAATTTGTAATTTTTTTTCATAATTTTCTGGAAAATTAAGAAATTAACCTTTTTTTTCAGTTTTTTTTTTACATATTGTCACCAGTGTAGTACAGTTATCATATAACTGGTGTAGCAGTGATTAGGCACACGGACTAGTGACAGTATGTACAAAAACAGAAAACTTTTTTTCATCTCTTATTCATTACATTTTTGTTTGTTTTTTGTTACGATTTCTTTTTTAAAATACACTGTGACTAGAGCAATATAATGCTAACATTATTATTATACAGTATTTATATAGCGCCAGAAAGGTTTGCTCAGAGCTGTACATTATAGTGGGGGACAGAACATGAGACAATACAATAACAAAACAATACACAAGGGGTTCGAGGGCCCTGCTCTTTCAAGCTTACAGGCAGGAGGGGATAGTGGCACAGGAGGAAGTGGCTGTGGGGGATGGAGTGGTAGGAGGAGTGGAGGAGATTGGCAGTTAGGTGAGGGTGGGGTAGGCTTCCCTGAAGTGATGGGTTTTCAGGGTGCGCCTAAAGGTGAGGAGGGTAGGTGACAGTCTGATGGATTGGAGTAGTGAGTTCCAGAGGATGGGGGAAGTCCTGGAGAAGTCCTACAGTCGGGCGTGGGAGGTGGAGACCAGGGAGCTAGAAAGTAGGAGGTCTTGTGAGGAGCAAAGATTATGGGTTGGGTGGTATTTGGGTATCAGGTCGGTGAGGTAGTTTGGGGCAGCGTTATGAATGGCTTTGTATGTCAGTGTTAGTTTGAATTTGATGCATTGGGCAATCGGGAGCCAGTGGAGGGAATAACAGAGGGGGGTGGCAGAAGAGGAGCGGTTGGTAAGGTGGAGGAGTCTGGCCGCTGAGTTCAGGATTGACTGAAGCGGGGATAGTCTGTGATGAGGTAGGCCGGTGAGGAGGGAGTTGCAGTAGTCCAGACGTGAGATGAGGGAGTGAACGAGTTGTTTAGTAGTGTCTGGGGTTAGGAACGTACGTATTTTGGAGATGTTACGGAGGTGGAGCCTGCATGAGCTTGCTAGCGATTGGACATGGGGTTGGAAGGACAGGTTTGAATCTAGAGTGACACCTAGGACTTTGGCTTGCGAGGTGGGACTGCTGGTGGCGTTGTTGGTTGTGATGGAGAGGGGGGGGGGGGGCGCGGGCGGGCTGGGGGGAAAATTAGGAGCTCGGTTTTTGAAAGCTTCAGTTTGAGGAAGTGGAGCGACATCCAGTCTGATATGTCGATCAGCAGGTGGGTGATACGGGCAGAGACTGAAGGGGTGAGTTGAGGGGTGGAGAGGTAAATTTACGTGTCATCGGCGTAGAGGTGATAGTTGAAGCTGTGGGAGTGTATCAGTTTGCCAAGGGAGGAGGTGTAGATGGAGAAGAGAAGGGGCTCGAGGACAGAGCCTTGGGGGACCCCAACAGAGAGGGGGAGAGAGGGGGAAGTGATAGCGTTATAGGTAATGCTGAAGGAGCGTTGAGAGAGATAGGAGGAAAGCCAGGAGAGAGCGGAGTCTCTGATGCCGAAGGAGTGGAGTTTATCTAGGAGGAGGGGGTGGTCAACTGTGTCGAAGGCCGGGAGAGGTCGAGGAGTAAGAGGACTGAGCAGTGGCCCTTAGCTTTGGCAGTTAGAAGGTCATTAGTGATTTTGAGTAGGGCGGTTTCGGTGGAGTGAGGGGGGACGGAAGCCAGACTGTAGTGGATCATAGTAACATTGTACTACTCTGGCGAAGTGATCAGGATTTTTGATTTTGATTTCTTATACCAGTCAATGTCACTGGTATAAGCAACCATTTTTTACTGAATGAAATGGATTAATTTAATGTGTATTGTTGTGATTAGCTGTGATTGGCCACAGCTAAATCACATGGTATAGATGGGCTGCAATTGGCCATGTCTGTACCATGTGATCACTGTGAGCAATCATAGCTAGCAACACAATTGTACACAGTGAATGGTATAAATTAAAGCCATTCATTGTTTACAATTTTCATGTGATTTGCTGTGATTGGTCACAGTGATCACATGGTACTGACAGCAGCCCAGTACAGTGATCTGTCTTCGGCTGTGTCCAGTGGACACAGCCAGCGATAGATCATGCTGGAGCATGACCGCATTCTGGGAGGACGTCATATGATGTCCACCCTGAACAACGAAAATCACGCCCAGCCATCATTATAAAATAGGCTGGGCAGGAACTGGTTAACCAGTAAAATTCTTCACCTCATTTTGTAGAAATGGTTAAAATAAAAAGAGCTAAACTGGGTTCTTGCTACTAGTTACATCCAATGTACAAAAGGCTAATAGGAAAATATTTTGATCCAGTGAATTCATCCAGCTGCCCATACAGGAGAGGACAAAAAAGGAACCTTATTTTTCCTCCTGTGTGGCAAAAACTATAATCATTGTCCAGGAACTTTTAATCTGCCTTCTCTTGGACTAAAACTGCAGGTTACAAAGAACTGGGTAACTGTATACTGAATTACAGTTATTGACTGCTAATTCGCACCACAATTGGCCTGACAATCAGATATCAATAAAAAGAAAACAAGAGTTTGTGAAATCAATATCTCCAAAACTGTAAAATCTTGTCTGACGTTTTGGAAATGTAAAAAAGAAAAAAGGGTAACACATTTTACAGTCAAAATAATTTGAAACTTGCAAATTGAAACTCAGATACGTGTAATGACTGTGGACATTTTCAAACCAGTTATTCTTACCTCTTTCATGTAAAACTCCATAAATCCATTTATGTAGCCATCTTCTTCTAGCCATATTATTAAGTCAATAACACTTGTAAAGGAGAAAATCGCAAAAACTAAAAACAGTTAAAGAAAAGAAAAAGGGAAAAAAAATCAAACGATCACAGAGATATTTTGTAAAGTAAATATATATCCAAGAAATTGCAATATGTTCAAGACAAGTGAAAAGCACACATATCGTTATTATTAAGGTCTTGTTCCACTAGTACAATTTCGGATGTAACTGGAGTCTCACAGAATCACATTTTTTCAATGGTGTCCGATAACATCAATGCGACTCAGTATGGAGCAATTTGGAAAAGGTACCTGTACTGCTTTGATGCGATTCCAGTATGATTTTGGTCCCATAGAAAATAAAAACCTTATCAAAGTTGCATCCAAGTAGCACTACATAATCGCACTGAAAGTCAGATCAAAATCATATTGCAGCAGTGTGAACCTAGCCTATAGGGCTATTAAAGTGGAACTTCACTCTCTCAATCACAATTAACTATTTTTAATCATAATGCTGCTAGCATTAGTAAATAGATAGGAAAGTATATCATATTTACTTGGTTTATTGCTTTTTCACATTTTTTTAGTTACTTCATAGTTTCCAGGCCTAGGTAAATGAGGTCATACACCCCAGGAGTCTTCAGGAGGGGAGGAGAGGTTTTCTCAGCTACGCACACCCTCATGCCTGAGCTAAGGGCAGATGGATTCCAGGAAGTAATTTCTACATGAATCATCTGTCCTTACTCAAGATGACCACGGCCAGAAAAGATAGGGGGTGTTTTTACTAAGTTATTTCTCACCAAAATAAAGCATGGAGACATGGATGGATGGGGAAGTTTGCTTTTAATATTAAAAATGAATGAATTACTGCTTTTGGTTTGTGGTATGCAGATACAATGTAGTTCCACTTTATTAGACATTAGGTGACATTAATAGACCCCTGAAATATCCTTAAAAAAGAACATGTAACCTGCCCATGCTGTCACATAGGGGGCTGGTTAGCCACCTTGTAATTCCAACAAAATTAAAAGAAATATAAAGAAAAGAAGTGTTAAAGAATGTCAGGGACCCCAGGCTTTACCGCAGTGCACAGGTCTGCGCACGCGCGGTATGCCGGGGCACACTAGCGTGTGCATTAGGACCTGGGCGCCCGCAACAGCAACGGCGTTCGCGCACTCACGATCGCAGAAGTGCACCTGGCACCAATGAGGGCGCCCTATTTAAACAGGCTATGTCTATGCTCAAGTTGCCGTATGGTCTTTACCTGTATCCTGTGTTTCCTGAGAGATTGCCTTGTTGCCGACCCTGCCTGACCCCGATTCGCTGTCTCCTGCTCTGGTCCCTGGCTTGTCTGACCATTCTCCTGCCTAATCCTGCACGTTTGATCTCCCGTTACGGAACCTGGCCTGTGACCTGTTTATTCTTCTGCCTGCCACTTGAACCATCCTGCCTCCACCGTTACCGACCTGGCCTGTCTGACTTCGCTCACTCTGCCTCCTCACATCAGGCTCTCACCTGCTATATACCACCGGCAAGTGCTTCTACCACAGCTGGCCGCGGCCCCTGGGTGCAACCAGCTGTGGTAGAAGCACTTGCCGGTGGTATATAGCAGGTGAGAGCTTGATGTGAGGAGGCAGAGTGAGCGAAGCCAGACAGGCCAGGTCGGTAATGGTGGAGGCAGGACGGTACAAGCGGCAGGCAGAAGAATAAACAGATCACAGGCCTGGTTCCGTAACGGGAGATCAAACATGCAGGATTAGGCAAGAGAATGGTCAGACAAGCCAGGGATCAGAGCAGGAGACAGTCAGCGAATCAGGGTCAGGCAGGGTCGGCAACAAGGCAAAAACACAGGATACAGGTAAAGACCATACGGCAACTTGAGCATAGACATAGCCTGTTTAAATAGGGCGCCCTCATTGGTGTTAGGCGCGCGTCTGCGAGTGTTCATGCGTGACCGCCGTTGCCGTCGCAGGCGCCCAGGTCCTAATGCCCGCACGCTAGGGCGCCCCGGCATACCGCGCATGCACAGACCCGTGCGCCGTGGTAGAGCCTGGGGTCCCTGATAAAGACAGAAAAAAAAAAGTAAAAAAAAAAAAAAAAAGTAAACAACCCAGCTGCCCCTGCATACATGTATATACACACATAAGGCATACACTTTTATGTAAATAGCAATTGTGTAATAGGGCCATCATTCATGGTTAACTCTACAGTGACAACCTGTAAAATGTCCCCTATGGCCAATTTTGGGTTCTGCAGTCTTCCATGATTTTATGGGTATGACATGTCTGGCACTTATTTACTCACCACAACCCTTTCTTTTATATATAGCCAGGTGCTGGCTTTAAAATTATGCCATTCAGGGACATTTACAGATGTTTATATATGAGACTATGATTAATACTTTTTCCCCTTAGTGCACAGTACTGGGACTGCTATATCACTTCCTGTTAGTAGATTGGATTTAGTTGTTCTGACAGCAAAGGATCTTGGGATCTGTAGTACTATTGCCAATACATCCTGTATTCCTGATTGAACTACAACCAGAGAGCTGGGGAATGAAAGGAATGCTGAGAAAGCAGATATATTCTACAGCAAGGGACAGGCTTGCTCTCTTGGTGTGGTTTCAGAGCTGAAAACAGGGGGACTGTTGTTCTCCAGAGACTTATTGCTGGCCTAATGCTGCAGGACTCTGCACATCAACTCAGCACATCGGTGATGCTGATCGCCACAACAGGATCACATCAGATTCTCTGCATCAGGACTGTCACTGTCTGGTCTTCACACAGATATCTCTGCTAGCCGCGATAACAGGCCATCAAGTGTAAACTCTGCACTTCCCTGCAAACATCCTAGAGAATGGGCAAGAACTCTTGTTCATTGGAGGATACTATGCCCAGACGGATGACTATGATTAAGGCTTATTGCTGAAACGCGTAAGCCAGTTTTATCTGTATACTCTACTCTATGGAAAAAGGTAGTGTATATGGAAGGATGAGTTGCCTGCTCTTCACACCTTACTCTAAAAGTACTATCCATAAGACTGGTGAGTGGGCAAATGCCCAGCCTCTGTCATTACTCTAGAGACAATGCATGCAGACACCTTGACAACTCAGTTACCAGGAGACCTTTGCTTTGGGTAGTACCACAGCATATCTGTTTAACTTCATTGAATTATCAATATTCACGAATGCTTATGGGCCCTACCATTTCTAGCAGACGACAGCAGATACCACCATATCAGGAATTTTAAAAATCACAGGACTCAAGTTGCAATCTTTAGGTAAAGGAATCTTTTCTCTTCTAAGGTCACTGATATCCAATTTAGGGTATTTATATCTATTTATGCCAGAGTACACATTTACATAATTCTCTGCATGCCCTGTTGTGGAGGTGGTGGCACAGAAGGAGCTGATAAGTCTTCCCCCTCTTGCTGCTGGTGTTGCAATTAAATAGTTGAAGCTTACTACTCATGACTATATAACTTGTTAAATGTTGCAAATTGATTATTCCTATTTTACCAGTGTTCTGCTTTTATGCGTTAACTGGGGTTATATATCCTAAACCCATTATTCATGTAGCTGGTCCAGTCATGTGAACAGTTCCAAACGGTGGCTTCAGAAGAGAGGAGAGACAGCCGACAACAGATACCCCATGGCAGGCATTTCAGCCGCTGTCAGCGATCTCTCCTCTACTCTGAAGCTAACTGCTGGGGAGATCACGGGACCAGACCAAAACACTCTGAGAATAGGTAAGTATAAGCATCTTCCTTTCACAGGGTATTTAGAATAGGATTTAGAAGATATTTACCGGAAAATTGACTGAAAAAAAATGTACAATTTCTGATCTGCATTGTCTAATGGCCAACCTGCTGATGGGTTGAACTGCCATTACCCACTGACCCATTTACTGACAATGAGCACACTTTGCAAGGGTTTGCAAAGTGTGATGTATCAGTTTTCCCTGGCATTATACTCCATCCTGGTTCAATAAATATAATGTGTAAAGGTAAAGCCATCGGCCTCAATTTACATACCAAGTATTTACTATAAAATGCAATGGTATAGAATACCTTCACAGTGATCAAATAAAATTTGTAAATCAATTAATTTTGTTTTCAAGAAATAACAATCACCAACTTTGGTGGGAGGGGCTGTCAGGCTCCTGTAAACTTCAGACCTTATTTCAAGAAGGTTATGTGAAATAACACATTCCTGGCATTCCTTTATACCATGCATTACCCTGCCTGCTGGCCACTAAAGTTTACACCATCCAGGGAACATGCGTGTCTAAAGGGAGCCAGGGATGTGTTCCTTCATATAATGCTTGGAAACAAAATGATTAGTGGTAGAAAAAGCTAATAGTTGTAAGAGACAGGCAACAACAGTACAAATCAGGAGAGGAAATTTGGTTGATAATTTAAGTTTTTTTTATCAGGAAAAGAAGGTGGAAACAAGACTTCTTCAACTTCAAAAGGGTTATATTGTAGAAATGCAAGTTTGCAGGGAATTGAGAGTAATTGCAAGTGTGGGGAAAATAAATAAGGCTGAAGTTCAGCTTTAAAATTCAAAGATAAAAATTAAAGTTATGGAATAAATGTTTTCAAATGTGCCTTGCAGTGCTACTGAATTTTATAGTAGTAATCTTCTACTTACCATAAAAGAGAGGATCCTGGGGAGGGTTTCCTTGTGAAAAGTAATATAATATAACCAGCAAAGAGAGAAGTACTAGAACTCCGAGAGCAGCTATAGCAACTGGGCTAAAATGATAAAACAACAGGTCACACAGAGGAACTTCTTCAGCATAAAGATACAAGACTACTTAAAATACTACATTCGGACTAGATAAACCTCATTGTAAACTCAATGTACAGTTTTCAGTACACCAATGTACTAAAAACTGCTATGAAGCTGACCATACATGGATCAGTTATTTTGTTCAGCCAGTGGGCTGAACACAAAAAAAAAAAAAAAAAAAACTGAACCAAG